CAAAAAATTCCTGCTATGGTCTGATAACACTTGGTTGGTATTTTGAACTTCAGGTTTTCAATAAAATAGCCTGTAACAAATCTGTGCATTTTAAAAAGTATGATGGAAAAATACATAAGCAAAGGATTCAGACTGGCAGTTTAACAGATATAGGCAGATGATGCTATATGCAAATTTCAACTTTTCCTGTAAAAGTTGAGCTTGGTTCCACCTCCATAGTCTTCCTATATGGCGGCCTCCCACACAGATCAGTAGGATACACATAAGGGTGTGAGGCTGAGCTCTGCTAAAAAGATTTTTCATCATAGGTTCAATTTGAACTGTCCAAGACTGTGACAGGCACAACTCTAATTACATACACGTGACAAATCTATGCTATGCTTAATAGCATACAAATTCATACAGTAGATCTGGTTCAGTAAAAACAAGACTGTAGCAAGTCTAACTGGCACTGAGATATGAGAATGTGCCTTTGCTATCCACCAGTGAAGAGATCATCTGCTTGTCTTCCAATGATGAAAGTTATGTACTCTACAGAATCACAGGACTGGAGGTAGACTCAATCATTTCTACAACAACCTGCAACAAAAAAGAACAGTGATAGCATATATGTTTAAAAACTTCACAGAGTATCACAATATCTCAAATGAGCATATATGGATAAAGCACAATGCTTTATAGTGAACTTGGTGTAGAGCTATTCACCCTGAGGTCATCACAGAGGAGAAGGGGGCACTCTTTACATCTGGAGGAAAATAAATTTAATCTCCAAACACGGAAAGGTTTCTTCACAGTGAGAGCAGTGAAAATGTAGAATAGACTCACTCAAGAGCTCAGTGGATTGCTTTAAAAAAGGCCTGGATTCTTTCTTAGATGCACAGAATATAACTGGATACTAACATTTATAGGTAAAGTTGATCCAGGGAATATCTGATTGCCTCTTGGGGGATCAGGAAGGAATTTTTTTTCCCTGCAGGAGCAAATTGGATCATGCTTTGCTGGGGTTTTTTTGCCTTCCTCTGGATCAACTGTGGGTATAGGATTATAACTTTTTTTTTTTTTTTTTAACTATGTAACTTGCAAAGATCAGCCCTGGTGGAAGTTTGGATTTAGGGCAATACCATTGATTGGCTAATTAAATACGTTGACTCTGCAATAACAAGGGTGGGAGGAGGGCATCCGGATGAACAACAATGAACATTACTTGCACTGAAACATGCCATATAATAAGATCTGCAATTTCAGTAATAGAAACTTCCCATTAGGTGAAAAAGACACTTAAGCTAGCCATACACTGATCAAAAAGTGTCCAAAATTTGCTTTGTGGGTGGCACCCTGCCTGCCGACATCCTTCTATTGAAAAATCAAAAGGAGCTGGGTGAAAAATTGTCATTTGTACAGTGACATGGCAAGACATTACAACTACATCTGGGCAATAAGTACAATACCTCTTTAAAATATATTTCATTAACTTATGAAAGACATTTCAGCAAATCCAAATTGTAATTTTTTTCTAATTTAGAGCACATTTACACTGTTGCATTTTAATGTAAACTCACAATGTAAATGCATGTGTCAAGGTTGCCCATAATTCATGTAGTGCATGTTCCCATCCTAGCACTACATTTTGAAAAATAAAATATGTCAATTTTTTTTTTACGCATTTTCGTGCATTAGAAGGCCCACAGAAGTTAATGGTGGCACATCCAAACACATAACATACATTTTGATGCATTAGCAACAGGTATTAAAAAGCCTTAGTCAGTGGGTGTTAACACTATGTACTCCAAATTCTAAAAAAAAAAATAAAAAAAAATTAATTAAAAATGTGTCAGCATGTTAAAACATGCCAGTACACAAAGGAAATGCATGTTGACACATGACAACACACCTGCCTAACACTACAAAAAATAAATTGACACACACACACACACACACACACACACACACAACGAATTGGCCCTTAAGTAGAGATACATCAATGCAGTGTGCATACATAAAATGTTTATAGCGTGAGGATGACATGGTAATTTGTAAATGTAAGTTGATTTTTCTTAGATTTCCCTAATTCCAAAAAAATTGTTAAAGTAAAAGTATACCCAATCAATCATCAAAAATAAACCTGAACGCCCAGATCCAAATTTTCCCTTTGTTTACCTTTTCCTTCCTAACATTTTTTTCTTACTATTTTTCTAGTGAGCATCGGGTTTTTGCAATGGATACCTCCATTTGGTGGGTGCCTCTGCCCTACGTGGTAACGCCAAAAGGTAGTCCACTTGGTGGACTGTTTCTGTATTACTTAGGTGCTTGGAATAGTACACCCTGTGAATGTGTGTATACCCTTTGGGTATAACTTAATATGTCTTCTCTCTGCTCAGTGAGGGTGTACTCTTTTTGGGTGTGTTTGAATAGGATGTCATGTAATTGGTAGACTTGTGTAATCATTCTGCAACATAAAGATTTGTCTACCTGTAATGCACTATTGCTGAGCATTGTAGTTTTGATATGGAACCTGAAATTATGCAAAACCACTGTAACTGTGTCTGATATGGTCTGTTTATTAAAGTTATAGAAATAGAAAAATGAACTTTAACATGGTAAAGTGACACTGTCATCACAAGGTTATTTGTATTAAAAGAACACCCTGTGAGCAGCAAACGACTGGTCTGATGGGTTGAATGCCTACTTCCACAGCCATACTTGGAAGCAGGCTGGAATACATGCTGTGGCTGGAGGAGAAGTGAAATGGTAGCATTTCCACAAATGGGCTATCTGTAAGGTAAATATACAACCTTATCTTTGACAGGGTGTTATTTCAATACAAGTGGCCTAGTGGTGACAGGGTCACTTTATTGTCAAGTTAATATATTTAAACCTGCCACTTTTATTAAAGTACCCGGTGATCCTGCCAGAAATGTCCTTGTTCATTCATTTCCTGCATTGCAGTAGTGAGAAAATAAAAAAAATTTCACTGCCCATTGAAGTGATCAAGTGGCTCTATAGTCACTCAATCACTTCTACATGAAAGGGAATTTTGATACGGGATGATGCCTGCAAGTGGAGGCATTATCCTGGTATAACCACTGAAACCTGAGGACATCATACGACGTCCTAGAGGTGGCAAATGGTTAATATTAGCATACTGTTAATGGTAATTTTGTTTGGTATTGGGTCTTGTTTCTGTTTGTTATTGTGTTTTTGTGTTGTCTTTGTTGATGTAACTGTATGCTGATAACTTAATAATTTCTCTTTGGGATTGTAACGCCCTGCTGGTTAGTTTGTTTATGTTAGATAGAGGCCAAGTAGAAGCCTGGGGATAAATCAGCCTGAGATTGAGGTAGTGAGGTTACCTCAGGACAAGCTTGGAGCCTCTAACAGGCTCCTGGGGGAAGGTGTGCAGTGTTGGGTGGAAGATGGATTGAGGAAGGCTGGAGTGTGGAGCCTGGCAGGGGGCCCCAGGGAGGGGAGCCAAACTACAGGCAGGTTGCTGGAAAAGAGTACCTTCACTGCCTCAATGTCTCCTGGGGAGGACTGCCAGTGTAGCAGAGAAGGAGCCAGCCCAGGGTAATGCCTAAAGGCAGCCACCAACCCACCAAGCTAATAGGAGAGGACAGTGTGAGTACTCTTACACCCCCAGGATCATATAAGAGGAGAGGGCATTCAGGTGCAAGACCCAACTAGCTTCTCATCTGGGACTGTTCTAAACTAACAGCTCTTGGGCTCCTTGCTCAGGGATACCTTCAGGCAGCTGGGTAAAGAGAAGAAATCATCTGGGGTTTGAGGAGGTACACCTAAGAGTCTTTGATGCTCTTCAAGAAAAGGCTGTTGCTGATCTGAATTTTTTGGTACACAGTTGCTAAGGTATTGTCCTCAAATCCTACAGTTCCTCAGGCATCCCATATACCCCTAGACCCTAACCACGTTTAATACCTTATTAAAATCCCAAAACCAAGTTCAAGGACAGTTTACTAACTCCAGAGCAGAGCACAGGGGGACACAATTCAAGGGTAGTGCTACAGGATTAATAAAGCATTCAGAATCTGAAGATAAACAGGTAGAACCCAGGTAGGAGGATTTGTTTCATCTCTGTGTATCACCTAAAAGGGGCCACTTCACTGGGTATGTGTCAGGGTTTTCAACCACATTAAGTTAGGGATTACATCTACTTTAAAGCATTAGTAAACCACAGATAAAATATGAAAAAAAAAAAATTTCAAAATGCCCTGCAAGGAAATGTCATAATGTGTTAGAATGAATTGCATACCAGCACATTATGAAGGACTTGCCTTAAAATGAAGCCCTCCAGCGGCACACTGTCACCACTGCAGAGGCTTCCATCTTACCCGCATGTGCCGGCTCTAAAAAAGAGCCAATATCTCCTAAATGGTGCATCTTTAGGAGATATTCATTTTACCTACAGGTAAACTTATTATAAGCTTCCTATAGGTAAATGTTAAAAGAGTTCACTACCACTTTAATAGTCTGAAACTTTACACAATTTAATTATTTTTTTGATTAGCAGTCACTGACCTCTTGGATGGAACCTCTTGGAGTCATGCATTGACATCTGCCAGATTAAGTGGCTTCTCAGTCAACTTCTCCCTACTAATAAAAAGAGAGAAGTATAAGCAGAATACTTGCCAGCTGATTATTTATCCTAGCAGATACCATCCAACCCTAATAATTACAATACTTTTACACCCCCACCCCCAATGCATCCAGTTAGTGGACACTCACCATTCCATTACTGACATTTCTGTGCTGTGAGTCTTCTGCTTGTGATAATATCGAAACAAGACCACTGCCAGGACTATAATAATGATCACAACACTGCCAACTCCAATCAACAATAGCAGCAACATGATTTCAGAAAACTTTACTGTGAGGACAACAAGAACACTTTAATTACTTCAAGTACAGATGATAAAGAATCAAATGCAGTTCTAGATGTCAATGCAAAAAGGAAATGCAGTAAACCGCAATTTACATACTTGCCTTTGTCAACCACTTTGACTAAAATTTCTCCCATTCTCTCCATGCACATCAGGAGGGTTCTTGACTTGGCATAGGTAAGTTCCATTATATGATTCCTGGATATTCCTAATTATTATAGATCCATCACTGCGCTGAATATTTCCATCCCAGACTGCACGTCCTAGAAAACGTCCTTCAGTTGGTGGAAATGGATTTCTGTGGTAATAGAACACCTAATGGAAAGGAAAGACAGCATGATCAGTTAAAGTGTATATCTGTGCAAAAATTAAAAAAAAAACACAATACAGATGAAAATATTTATAAAAGAGGTAGAACCAAGGGTAAAAAAGAGGCAGAGACAAACACGGTGGTTTGCATCCACTAATGAAGACAATTAGAGGTATAACCTTTTCAGTATAGCACTTGTAGCATAACTCATCAGCCTGTTTAGGTACAATAGCTCACAACAGAATATACCTATATAACAAGAAAGAGATTGGATTCAAATACATAGGAGAGTACTGTCTTGACAAATACCACTTTTTTCTCAAGATCAGTTCCCCCCAGACACACCCTAGTACAGAGTCTCAACACAGTACAAGTGGAATGTTATTGTAGCAGTTTACTTTGGATCATAGCTATTGGTGCCACTACGGGTGTATCCAATCATTCTGACCACAATTTGTCGAACTTGCTGTGGTGGGTAAGTTAACTTTTTCAGATCTATGGTAGGTGTTGACTTCTTTAATCTAAAGTTTCAATAGTAGGGGGGTAAGGACGATAGCGATTTTTTAAGGTAAGGTAGGGCTAGGAACAAGACTTGGCTAATTACTAACATTAACAAATGATTATCTTCTTGTAGCTCCAAGTATCCCAAAATGCAGGTAAGGGGGTTTTCTGAATGTGAACACTTACCTTTGTTGATAAGGTTTGTAATGTCTTGCCAGTAACAAACTAGTTTGGGGGCAGCGCCATATCATGTGCAGAAAATTGCCCACATCTCTATTACATCATGAGCATAATGGGGATTCTCGGTGACTGAATCATTGGGGAGTCCTGTATGGCCTTTGTATAATGAACAATTGTGTGCGCCTTTTGGAAGTAGAAAGGGAAAGGAGGCGGACATTCTGTAGAAGTTTTCCATTGGTCATCAGATAATGGAGAGTTCTTTATGCTCACTACTCAAATTCTATGTAACTATATTATACCATAATGTGTCTGTATCATGTTGACATGCATATCTGAAGCTGAAGTTTAGTTATTTTTTTTTACCTTCTGCTGCAGTCACATAACATACCTGTAATGCAGTATGAACCATGGGCTGATGGTTCCTGAAGAAATCTTCTGTTATACCTAGTCCTCCACACAGCTCTGAACTTCTGGAGCTGTAGGAATTAATAGCTTCCGGTCTAACCATAACATTGAAGAAGCTGCCGATGGTGGGCCCCATTGGGAGCTTCTGAAATGCATTGAAATGTAGGACCTGAAGATTTAAGTTATTAACCCCCCAGAGTTACAGAAGTTAAGAGCCATTAAGAGGATTGGGCATCACTGGAGAGGACAATCAGCCTGCAGGATATGATACATTATTACAGGTAAGTTATGTGATTGCAGTAGTTGGTAAAAATAAACTAACTTGAAATTTAAAGTCTAAGGCCTTGTTCACACAGGGTGTACTAAAGCATACGCCTGTGCAGAGCCTTGTTTACCTGCATGGGGATGCACAGGTGTTCCGTGCATCCCGATGCAGGTAGTCCCATTCATGTCACTTGTGACGCAGTGGCTGGACAGAGACAGACGTTGCTCCCAGTCTTCCATCTGTGCTGGTGCATGGCCCCAAATGCACATTGTCTGTGTTCAGGGCTGTCCATCCGCATGGATGTCAGATTGGGATCAGCGTTTGTATCTTTGCAGGGTCTGCCTATACAGGGATGCATGGAACACATGTGCATCCCCAAGCAGGTAAACACGGCCCTCACATAGGCGTATGCTTTAGTATGCCCCATGTGTACAAGGCCTTAGAAATTGCATTGTAGAAATATTGTAATCAATTTGTGTCTTTAATTGATTCAGGGAATTCTTTTTATTCTTGGATGTTTGTGCTTGCAACTTTACAGAGGTTACAAGGTTCAGTGACGTATATATTGAATGGTGCAGGCTGTAAGCAAGCCTGGATTTGTTAAGTTACTCTAATTAGTCCTTTAAATGACTCAGCTACAGGGCGAATACATTTCGAAACAGCATCAGTATAGTGTTGAAGAGTTTACTCATTTCATAAATTACATAGATTTAAAAATGCACCAACAAGGTACCCTTTAATCTAGCTTTTGGTTGAATACAAGGCAATAACAACAAAAACTGCAACAATAGAGGAAATCAGGACAAAGCAAGAGGTGAATATTCTGTCTTGCATTTCTAAAAATACCTTGATTTGAGAATTGTTGGAGATATAGTATATTTGATGATGAGATAGGGAACAACATTTGAAGAGCTGTTACATAAGTGGCATTTCTAGTTCTAAAAACTTCCAAATTGTATTATATATAATAGGCTACTTTTTGTATGTTAGGTACTTTGTCAAACTACCCTTGTTTGGCTATTAGATATACTGTACAATCAGCCATACAAATGTGAGTAATAGGCTTCTTATAGTAATGTAGGAATATAGGAATTTAAAAAAAAAAAAAGGGGGTGGGGTGTATACGTGCTGCGAGAGGAGATGGCCGCACTGCGAGTCCGCCTCCGCCTGGGAACATGTCCGGCCACCGCCATGTCACTGTTAGCCATATAGACCTTTCTCACAGTTCCCCAGAGAGAAAATCACCTGCAGCATCTCAGCAACATGGGCCTGCCATTCAAATCGAAGCAGAAACATGCCTCCAACTGCACATCCTCAAGCAGGCCTAGCTCCAAGATGGCACCAGCTCCCACATCCACATGGATCCTCCTCCTCACCAGAGAGCCTCCACCAGTTCCCCTCCACTCTGCAGGAGGAGAGCATTCATAATGAGACCCTCCTCACTAAGCTTAAAGCCATAGAAATCACTGCAGCTTCTCATAAACTCTCATCTGAATTAAAACAAGAGATCAGGGAACTGGGACATTATGCCTTTTCCCTGGAAGGACACATGGATGATGTCACGTTAAAATCATTAATGAACTGCAAGCTTAAATTGCTGCTCTCAAAGATAAGCAAGGCCTGACTGAATCCATTACCACTCTACAAGACACAGTCACAGCCCTATTTCAAGAACTGAGCCATGAGATCCCTCCTGAATGGTTTGAAATGGACAGGAGACACCATGCCCTGACACACAGGCTCCCAGATGGTCCCCCGCTAGACACCATTATTTAATGTCACTTCTTCCGCACAAGAGACCAACTACTGTCTATAGCTGCCTTGAAGTCTTCACTACAATTCCAAGGACATGATTCCAGCTTTTGGCAGACTTGGAACAAAGCACTGTACTCAAACGCAGGGCCCTAAGTCCATATCTTCAAATTCTGTAGGAACTGTATACTAAATACTTTGGGGGCTTCCCCTTCAAACGGAACTTTACTTATAACGACAAGCAACATCAAACCACATCCTCTGAATCCACCAAGTAATGCTTCTGTGAATTGGGGCTCCGGCTCCCATGACACTGGCTCCAAGTCTTCATCACCATCGCACCGGAACTCTACCACCAATTCAGCACTTCAGCGTCTACCGGGCCAACGCTTTCACCCAGTGGCAGTGGGATGAGTATTGCCAACTTATATTGTTCTTTACCTCACACTCGGCAGTCTGAGACCACTCAGATCTTTCCTGCAATTTGTTGACTGCTTCCTCGCCCCGTATTTGGGATGAAGCTCTATGTTATTTGGACATTTGTTTCAGTTAAGCCTGTGCCCTCAGACCTTCAAACCTACCTTTGCCGACTTTCTTTTATACAATTTGTGTACCCCGCTGGAGCTAATGCTGACTTTATTGTGCTATGTAACTCTTTCTAGAAGCCCTTTTGGGGCAGGTGACATTTCTTGTTACCACCTAAGTCACCACTATTAGCCCACTGGAGCTCTCCCCCTTAATTAAGTTGCATTGTTTAAAAATTCTACTGTTTCTAAACACACAGTGTTGTGATGATGACCACTCCCCAGTGCACTCTCATTCAGTGGTGTCTACCACCTAAAGTATATTTATATTAATGTGGTCTTTCTGACCTGAGCTACTCTTCCACTTCGTCCTGCTGTCTTAATGAACATGTGAATACATAAATTCAGCCTGTACTTTTGCCAAACCCTGGCTGGGAGTACCTGGGGACCTAGTAACTAGGTTTCAAGCTACTGGAGATGGGGCGTTTCAGGCTACTGGAGATTCTGCCCACCTACTCCCCAGGGGCTTGACCCAATATATGTCTTTTTTACTTCATTATTGATGGGGGGGCTTGCGGTTGTGAAGTGCCCTGCCCTTACCTGACACACTACTTTATATCCCACCCTGCCATCTTCTTTGTCTGTTGGCGGTGGAGTACCAACCATCCTTATCAACAGAGCCCCTTGGCTCAGAAGGAGAGGGTATTACCCCTTTTTTAGACTCCCAATATTGTTACATTGTGTCTACAGGGAAGGGCTCCTTCCTACTTCCCCCCACTTGGGGTGACTACATTCATGTGGGATCTCCCCTAACAATGACTATTGATCGCTTTGGTCTGTAACTTTTGGGCGGCTTTTAAGCCCCCATGACTTTTAAGAATACTATTCTGCTTCAATTGTTTTTTATGCCCAGAGGGTATATCAAAGTCTCTTGTTTCATTCCACTCTTTTTTGAATTTTTTTTAGACCCTCGCCTAACACCCCCCTGGGAGGTCATAGCCTTAGTCATTCACTTATTTTGCTTTGGGCCTCTGCCCTAGACCCTACCTCTTGCGTTCTTCGCTTGCATGATTTTTTGGCAGTTAGCAGGTTATGTTTCCCTGGAGCCATCCCATGCCCCATATGGTCCCTAAATACGCATTTTTGTGTCTCTGGATCCTGCTGGCACTCTCTGAGTGCCTTTTTTTCACCCCCCTTTGTTGGGAATGTTTTTTTTTCCACCTCCTCCCTCTCTCTATTCACCCCTCCTTTTTTGCTTTTGTTCCTCTTCCCTCTCCAGCCCTTAGAAGGTCCTGCAGGTAGCTTACATGGTTGTAATTGGTACCCTACTTTTCCAATATGGCACTTTATTAATTTACTCTAAATGTTCAAGGCCTTA